TACAAAAAGATTGCAGACTCATATTTGTAGTGAATGAAAAAAATTGACATCGTTAGATATACAATTGAGAACAAGAGGTGTTTGTGTCATCAATAAATGTCCCTCTTACCCGTCTGGCAATGACTGCCCCAGCCATCATTTCTCATGTTGCTTGGAGGGGAGAAGATTATGAGACTCAGTTACTAGGCCAATGGCTATTTCCTGTTAGCTTCTGTCTTGGAATGGTATTCTGGTTAACAGGAACAAGAAGAAGCTAATTCTCTCATCTCCACTCTACCTTTCGGATCATTTGGAAAGAATTAATTGAAGTGCTTAATGGTCATATATATAAATTTTTCTAGGATCAAAGATATATGTTTGCAAACTAATTTATGAGGTCTTGGGGACTTCTTCCACGTCGTAACCAATCCTTTGTAACTTCTCTCTTTTTTTTTCCCTTGCTTTTGTACTCTGGTGTTGCCCCCTTGATGCTTTTTGTCTATATCTTTTTTCCACTAAAAGTATATATAATAGATTATTTTTTGTACAAAATTTAAAAGCTCATAGATAAAAAATTTATTTCCATTTTATATGTTCTTTTTCTACTTCTAAGTTGAGTATTGGAATTCAATTCGTATATTTTAAAATTGGGGTTGAATTCCCAACTTTGTTGCTTAGCCTCTTTAATTTTAGTGCTACACTTAGTGTCAGACACGATATAATATTGGTTTGCAAATGGATCTCTATCTGAAACTTGTTTTTGTGGATGATCTACATCCAGATACAAAATAAGTTATTTTCTAATCATACATATGAAACTAATATGAGAGCTATGCATATTAGGACTAATATGCTAATTGGAACTACATCTAGTCCTCCGCCATTGTACTTCCCCATCTCTTCCTAATAGTACTTCTTTTTCTATAATATTAAAAAAAATATAATTTGCTAGAAATTGAATAGTAAATGAACCTAATGCAACCTCAGTAGGTTTTAGAGATTTAGAAATAATTCTTTTATTTTCTTTAAAAAAGGCATCGATGACAATTACACATCCTTTTTGCTTCTTTCATTGATATTAAGTTATTTGATTGTCTTTCTGTATCTCTTTATCTAGAGCAATCAAATGTATGGATTATGCTTGTGCTTCTGCTTTCCAGTATGACTTGAGAAGCTGACTTCCTATTGAGTTGCACAGGCTATAAAATGGATGAATATGATCCAGATTCCAAGTACTTGAGGCTGCAGTTCTCTCGGTATCCAGGTCCAAGGTCTAGTTCTGGAACACGCAGTAGGAGATGAATAATCTGACTGTGAAGCTAGGTAGAACTCCAACAGTTTGTAGGACACACCCGCAAGCCGTTCACGTTTGGACAGGATGCTATATTTAGGCTGTTGCCTGTCCTGGGTAAGAGCAATAGAAATGCAGAGTATTTAGGTGATAAGGCCAAAGAAAATTAAAATCATCAGAGATCCTTGAACTTGACACGATCTTACAGTTCCCAATTCTATAAAGCTGTGTTGTACAATATCATTTGCAAGTGATTTTTATTTAATATTTGGATAAATTAACACTTCAATACCATGTAGTTTAGGACTTTGTAGATTCAATACATGATATGTCTTTTTTTCAGTGCCGATGCTTGAGCGTATCCTTGAACAGTAGAACACTTGGTTTAAATCCGGAGTATTACAATATGTAGATGATTGATATTAAATTTTCGATATTTAGAATGAATTCTTGCAGTAGTTTGTGGACTAAAATAGTCTGTCACGTGTAAAATTTTGTAGAACAGAGATTGTTTATATGTTTGGAGTAATAATCAGATTAAATAATGAATAAACAAGTGTTGGAATTTCATGTGTAAATTTTGTCCTTAATATTTTGGATGAACTCTGTAACATTATTAATTACTTCTGCTCCGAATGGCAGGGGAATCAGAACACATAAATGATTTCAACTTTTTAATTTATTCATTTTTATCAACAAACACATTTAATATTGACACTTGTTACGCCCACAGACACACACACATATATATATATATATGAAAGCCAATTGCTACTGCTGTACCTTAATTATTTCCATATTAGCTACAACCTCGTGGACAATTAAGGGCGACAAATAATTCAATTTGATTACTTAATTTTAATTTAATTGATAATATATATATATATATAAGAGTCAATTTTGTAAGTCAGTATAAGGACAAATTATCACTGGAAAAATGAAACCCGTATGTCCCAATGGTCTTAATTTTTTTTTTACTACTAAATAAAAGAAATTAATTGATTAACCCAGTCAAATTAGTGACAGATCATGTAAGATTATGTTTATGTTTTATACAATGAAATTTTGTAGCATGTGTATAATTAATTAAATAAAATATCTGGAAGTTGCCGACGGTAAATTTCACTACATCCACACCAAAACAAAACAAAACAAAAAATCTCTGACCACATACATTTTCCACAATTAATATATCTTGTATTAATTATATATATATATTTGATAGTTATAGTGATCGTATAAATTCGTTTTTATATTTATATATGTCAACAACCACCCTGCCAAACTGATTTGATTAGTTCCTTCTGATTAATGCTTTATAGCTGTATTTATAATTTTCATCGGTTACACTATTATTAGTCTTGTTGAATTTAAAAAAAAAAAAAAACAAATCAAATCAAATTTACATGTGCAGAATAGAGTAAAGTTATTTAATTTAATTATAATATAGAAAAATATAAATATTAACCAAAAAAAATACATCAATAACATTAATTATTTAAATTTTAAATTTTTTAAAACAAAATATTAG